CAAAGTACTGACATTTCCACAGCTCATTAATGAACCACAGTATGCTTTACAAAGACAGAGTGGACTACAAGGCTGCACGGTGATATGAACAAGGATGACATACAGCGCTGTGGCCTTCATTTCTTCACTAACAATACAAGAAGCATTTCTAAATGTTTGGGAGCATTTTATGGGAAGCAGCTCTTTGGCCTATAAAAGATGGCACACATCTTAATGAGTTTCAAATTAATCTGCTCTTGTAGCCATCACTGAATTCCTTTTAAGGAGGCTATAATTATTTCAGCATGGAAAATATCTTTTTCTAGGCCCTGTAACTGTAAATTCATTTCCCTTCGCTGGCTGAGGATAAATTTATGCTGCTTGGCAAACTGTCCTAAGATTTTATCAGGTGACTGACCCATGAAAATGGTCTAAAGGTCTGACAAATGAAATATACTTTACTCCACATATAGAGGCAGGAATGACTACAAACTTCAATGATGAGCATATTTGCTAGAAATGATAAAAATCTGAAGGAAATTAGTGCAATAAAATGCAAAATGAAGCATGTTGTAAAGTTCATTAAGCAGCTGTATTGGCTGAGGAACCTTAAATTCAATGTGTGTGGTCAAAGTTTTAAAGAGAGAAAGAGAGAGAGAAACAGCTGGAGCTAAAGGTGATTCATGAAAAACCTGCAACCCAACTGTGCTATAATGCTTAAGATGTACTGACTCTAATGGTTAGGAATTCATTTTACTGGATCTGAGTGTGGTGATGTTTCTTATAAACACAAAGTGGGTTGATTCATACGATGAACATTAAACATTGCTGTGTGTAGGAGGTAACAGCAAACACTACATGCATGAGATTCCCTGTGCAGTTTGAAGAGTCAGCCTGATCCGTTTCACACTACTGCCTGTGCATGAAAGCGATTTTGAGCTGCCGGTAATTAGCCTGCACCTGCAAAAACTTGAGCTTTTCACTGCGGTTATTGTGACAAGGCAGGACAAAAGGAAGGGCAAGATGAAGCCCCTGCAGCTGTGTATACAGGACAACACTGCAGGACACTAGTAAAGTTCAACAACCACGCAGAAGAAGCCAGGACATAAAAGAACCGTGAAGAATTCAGACTGGCTGTTTATTTTCTAACAGCGAAAGCCCAAGATTGTGTTGGTAGCATTCACCTTTTAATACACAGAATACAAAAAGCTGGACTGAGACTGTGAATCAGCTTGTTGTGATGACGTCTACATTGTGCGTTATCATCAGTCTACATTTGCACAGGTCAAGGATGGATATCCAAAGTAAAGATAGAAGGAAAATGCTGGTTCTGATAGGAAGCTACTCAAAAACACAGCGTTGTCTTGTGTTGTATCTCTGCAGCACAGATGTACAACATTTCAACTAGAAGCATAGTAAACAGGGTGCTGCTCATGTAACAGTGACAGTGAAGAATATAATGGGTTTCTCAGCTTAAACATTATATTAGTTTGTGTAGAATTAAGAATAAATCTGATTCTCGCTATGTTATTTTTTGTTCACTTATAGTCAAAATGTGTGCACCCGATTCTATTGTGTAAAATGCAATAATAGTTTTGTTTTTTGACAGTGAAGACAAATATAAGAATATGCCAATACTGTCATTATTTCAGAAACCGATTAGTTGTGAATTAGGGCCCACTATAAATTAAATTGACAGAGAGGCATTTCTCACATTGTGAATTAAAACGTATCTAATTTTATATTCATAAACTCAATACTGACATAGTTTTCTGTACAGAATATCAGAGGACAAAAAATTAAAATGGCAGCTGTTTTATTTAGATAAGGCTCAGTAGTTTTTTTTTTTATATGCATGTTAATGGAGTCATGGCTGCTCTCCAACATATTTTCTTAAACCCTGTCAGGTGCAAAATTGTGATGATCATGCATGGTCTAAAACAGTTATTTATTCACTAACGTTCGTGCCTAAAATGTGGCGTGATGTGAATTCACTGAGATCAGTTCTATTTAGCAGCGGAGCTAATTGTTTGTCTCACACTCTGTACACGCTCTGTCTAGATCCGTCCATGTCTGGAATTAAACAGTGTGCATAATTGTCACTTGAATTGCCTTCTGGGTTTTAAAAGGAAAAAAAGAAGAAACTCACTTTCTCTGCTTCAAGTGAGAAAGGAGATTCTGTAATGAGGGTTTACACATTCAAGGCCATTCCCCTGCACAAATGGGCCAATTTGCAAGCTTCCTGCATTCATATTGTTACTGACTATGGCAGTCATTCCACAGTGTCTGAGCCCTACATATCACCTCCTAATAGGTTTTTTTTTAATTCATGTTCACATCTTATTACCAAAGAGAGTACTGCTGGATACACCGCTTGCTTTTTAGAATGCCAGTCATGTACATGAAACATACATCTTAGTCTATCTGTATTTTCACCGTGTACTAAGGCACTCTCTCACTGGTTAGTACCAATCGCCTTTTTAAAGAAGAGGAACATTTGACAGTAAGAGAACTTCTCTTTTAACAATAAACACTGCTCTTCAGTCATATGTGTTGCACCCAGTGCAGAAGATGTGTTTCTGTCCAACATATGTTTCTGCATATCCCATACACAGAGGGATATGCATTTAGTACATTCATCGTCACATAAATGGATATTACTCTTCTGGCCCGGTCTTATGGTGTATGAAAAGTATAATAAAATTGTCCTCTCACCTAAAGAAGCAGATAAATCTTAGCATTTGTTACAGCTGGCAGCCAATGGCTTCCTGTTTCACAGAGCAGAACCATTTCTCTAATAAGCAATACATAAGCTATCGCATGTTATGGAACAGTTACAGACGTGTATATGCTGAAAATTTATCAATTTATATGCAACTCAACTAGTTTCTTAAAAATGTGAAATATCCCTTTACGGATAAATAACATTGTTTATTCTTTTAGGCTATATGTTTGAAGGAAACCAACTGAGACCATGGCTCCTTTCATTTCAGATGTAAACACCTGCTATCATTGCTGCTTAAGGCAACAGCTAACAATTATCTTCTCAACTGACTGATTCACAGTTTGATCTAGAAATGTCAGAAAATAGTGAAAAGGCAAAGCACAGTTTCTTAAAGCCCAATATGATGTCATCAAATGTCTTGTTTCATCTGACCAAAACTTCAAAAGTTAAAGATCTCACAGATGAGAAGTGTAGTGTTTTTTGCTTGAAAAATTACTCTACAGTAATCAACTCCATATGACATGGGACAAAACAGTCAAGCAGAAGAATTAACATATTTCCTTCAGGGGATCCAGAATCACAAGGGCATGTTTGTGACTATCTCAAAATGTTGTGTCAAACCTTCCTGAGGTGTCTGAATACAATACAGGGTGACAACTCAGAATAAGGAGGCATGACGTGCTGTGGCGAGCTAGATGTTATGCTGCTGGAGCTCAGGAGGTGACAGGAAGGTCAGAAAGCGCACATGATGTTTACTAATCCATGTCTGACTCAGAAATACTGCAATCACTGAACAGTTTGCCTTTCGTAATATTATAAACTCCCAACATGTGGTCAGTTGGTCAGAGCCAATTCCTTATGAGTGTATGTGGGGGAAAAAACATCCCAAGCCCATAAACCTGTACTGAGGTCACTTGAGATATAAAGATTTGACTGGGAATGAAAACAAATGGGTATCAAAACTGAGCCTGAGCAACTGAAATCATGATTGTCCTATAACAAGAGGACAACAGTGAACTTATAGAGAGGTCTTGCAGGAATTTTCTGCTTTCTGGGAAATGTTTTTCTCCTGTTTCTAGCTCCTGTTTTATTTGCTGAGGCAGCCTGAGCTTAACAGATTTTTATATTGGACTAAATCACAGGCTACTAAGCAAAATCACAGCCCACGTGTAGGCATTACTGAGTGCTTTTTTATTTGTTGCTATCACATTTACATGGCTGTTAATGATTTGTTCTTTATAATGAAGCAGAAACTAAATTGCAACACAGTGATACGTGAAGCAGATCTGTTGATCTATCCCTCAGCGAGGTGGCGTGTGCACCAGCTGTGTTTGAGATGGGGCCGGCATCCGGCACCTCTAAAACCATTCTTTTCACACTGGGGTGTCACCCTTTCATGTGCTTCTGTTATATCGGTGTAAAATATGCTGCCTCTCAGTGGCCATCTGGAGACGGCAGGCCTGGGCCATGGCAGAAAGCGAGTGGATTACAGGGGTCAGTTTTTGCTGGATGGACAAAGGGATAACTTGACCTCACAGCAGTTTCCAGTAGCTCCATGCAAATAACATCTACTACATCTAACAAAAGGTGAAATCACAGGCTCCTTACCAAGGGTTTTCACTATGAGCTCTGAATTTCTGCTGGATCATCGGCCTGGCAGACAGGGGGAAACTAGAGTAGAGAGAAGCAGTTATGTTGTAAGGAGCGGAGGTTTGAAAAGCTGGAGAGGAAGAGTGGGAGGGCGGGGTGGGAAGCTGTGGTGGTATTTTCCTGCATGCAGCCTGATCCTAAAACACAGGTGCAGCCTCCATGCAGCCCTCTCTGCCTTTGAGCATACCCAACCCCCCTCCTCCTGCCTGCAAAGTGTTTGTCCATCTGATCCTCCATTAAATCCTGATTACTATGGATTTGTCCCCTTCCAACCTGTAATTTGCAAAGACGAGGGATTGCTAATGGTTATCCGGTGAGGATATGGAGCTATTAGTTGGCAATTGATGTTACAAATTAAAAATGCACCTCGTTAGTAGTTCAATTTAGTTTTACACTCTTATTTCTGTTGTCAAAGGTGCAGGGTTTGTATTCAAACCCTGCAGAAACACAAGTCAGTGTAAGGCAGAACACAAGACAATGTCCTCACTCCCTATGAGACAATGCATGGGTCTCCTTTGGCTTGCTTTAACAAGAAATGGGCTAACACTGCACACAACTCAACTTTGGTCCATGTTTTTACTACAGACGACCTTCCCGAACTGATGCACTGAGAACAAAAACCTAGTTTAAAAATAAATAATTAACATTTTGGGGTGGAGGGGTACACAGCTGAAATTGGGGGCTCCCGGCGGCGTCATGCTGAGGCGATCATTGTCTCTCTCACACTTTCTAACTAGCCATTTCACAACATCCAGACAGCGGCTCGTTCCGTACGCAGCAGCAGCAGCTTTGCGCTCGGGGCTTGTTTCTCCCCGCTTCGACCAGAACTACTCGACGCGCCGATAACAACGATTACTGGACTAAACCCATCATAATGTCTCATTTCAGACCGGCTGTTAGCCAAATGAGTTAAGTAATGGCTGAAGAGATCCGAGTCCACCAGGTGCGAGAAGTGGCTGTTTAAATGAACCCCAACTAAACAGAAGAAAAGCACTTTCGTTTCTGTGCACAGCAGACTTGGAGGAGCTGGTCCGTGGACATCATGTACAGATCGGCGGATTTTACACCCAGAAAGCCACCGAGTGCCTTTGATTTTGGATTACTGTGACACACATGACGTGTTTTTTATAGGGGGATTTGTTTAAGGAGTCTGCTTCCTCTCGCTCCTGTTCGCTGTCCTCCGGGTTCCTGCAGGACTCCAGAGTCGCTGAGAGCCCATGCAGTCGCTAAGGTCGGTTGGTCTTGTTCATGCCATAACCATTTTTGAATTGTAACCATAATTACATGATATTATTTTACAAAGGAGTCCTGTGAGATTCTGCTTTTTACTTGATGGGTTTTCAAACTATATAACCTTAAAATATGCTTGTCACCATCTGTGCAGCCAGGAGGGCTGGATTTCTGATCCCACAAAGCGAGTTTGTAAATGCAATTGATGGTAACAGCTGCACTTGACTTGTGTCTGTTAAATATTGAACGATGGAGCGTTAACATTACGCACCTCTGTGTTATTTATCGCGCTGTCAACATTCATCACGTCTATTTCCAGTCCAAAATACCGCTGAGGCTACTTTTGTCTGCCACGAAATAAGGAGCAGTGCACCGTGTGCGCCCGCCGACGCTCACCCTTTAGGTCCTAATTGCATGACAGCTATAATTAGAGCAATAACTGAGCTGTCCATAAATCTCAGATTTAATGACAGGTTTGGCTGTTCTCATACGCAATGTGCGTTTGTGTCATGATTTTGAGGTTTCATATCAGAGCTCATACCAAGCGCCATCTGTTGGAAAAGATGATCAGTCCGCTGTGACTGCTGTCAAGACAGATGTGGCTAGTGCTCACAGTTTACACAGAAGAGGTAATAGTTTAGTATTATACCATATATCTAAATGACTGCTGAACTCCCTTTAACAACAGCTTTGACAAGTGATAGCAGAGATTTAAAGCAGCGCACCATAAAACCTGACCGGATTATATCCACTGGATTTATGGAGATATTTTACTGTTATATTATACACCTTTACCCACTGCAGCATGTGGAGCACATGGCCTGCCTGGTGCCTAGTGGTTCTGTGTAAATATTCCATCACTTACAAATGGTTTAACATTTCAGTATCATGTAAAATCTCATAGATGAAAATCACTTAAAAGCAAACAAAACAATTTGTTGATTAATTGGTCACTACCCAATACCCAAAAGCCAACATATAGCAAAGGCTTCATAAGGAAAAGGTTATTGAAGAAAAGAGGTCAGAATCTCATTTCGTTGGATGTGTAGGTCATATGGCAGTACTGTATGTTTTCGGATTAGAATAAAGGCTGCAGCTAATGATGATTCTTTTCACTGAATACCAGAAAATGGCCATCACAGTGTCTCAGACTTCAAGGTGATGTCTTTGATTAGTTTGTTTTTACCCAACAAATAGAACCAAACCCAAAGATATTCATTTTACAGTGATGTAAACCTGAGAAAAACCAGGAATTCCTATAGAGGAGCTGAAACAAGACAATGTTTGGCATTTTTGCTTGATAATTGTCACATTACCCTAATAGCTATGAAATAATTTGATCAAGTATTTCTTCATTGACTAATAGTTTAAATACTATTTAGAATAATTTGATATTTCTGATGCAGACAGCAAAATAAATTGCACTGTCCTGACCACTGAAATTCATTTTGGACTTTGATTTATTTTGAAAATCTGTCAAATGCCCTGAGTATCTCCTGTGTTATTGTCCCTTTGCAGATAAAAGTAGTCAAGTATCTCTCAAGATCTTTCTCATTAAAAAGCAACGCTTCCTTAACTGTGATATTTAAGATGTTATGATCATTTAATGACAAGTAATTAGCTTTGCTCCATTAATATGTAATAAAAGTGACTATTAAGCCCAAATCTTTAACAAACAGTTGACGAACTGTCTGATAAAGAGATGCATATCTTGCATATATGTACAGAAATATTGTACCTTTGTCTGCAAAGTCACTGCAGTAGCTAAATATATTTGGTCTACAAGCTGATGGCACCATGTATTTTTCAGATTTGACACTGATTCTGAGTTTTTTTCTGACCAACATTCAACTTACAGATCTGTACATCAAAGCCTTTACAGTGTTATTGGGACATTTTAATTCCTGACTTCGTTTCTACATGCACAATGTCGCTGCACAAGCCAAAAATGCCCAGCTGCAGTCATTCATTTCAGATGAGAAAGCCTGGTATATTAGAGCTGGAAATCAGTCTGCACAGGGCCACCCCTGTTGAAAACATGTAGGCTCAGAGCTCATTGTGCACGAACATATCCATCATCCATGAGTGGGACAGAAATCACAAAGACATTCACCGCTCTATGGAAAAATACTGTAAAGCCAGCCACAACCTGAGTACACACCCATCCATCTGGTAGTATTAAGGTTGAAATGGCTGGAAAAGACACCGGTATGTGTCATTTATACAACTGAAAGACAATGAAAAATGGAGCGTTATGCCTTTTAGACGAGGGGCTCTTCTGTTCAGTGGTGAAAATGTATACAAATCCTTTAAAGCAAACATGTCACAAAACACTCTTTAAGGTCCAACTGGCTAAATTTCACTGATCTAAACAAGTATTAGCACTACACTATAACCCAACTCACCCACTGCCTCCATTGCTCATTTCTAAGACTTAGCATGTAAGCATTATTACTTCCTGTCATGCTGGTTTATTTAAACTACAGGGAGGCATCATATTTTATAAGCCAATTGTTCTTTTAAGTTAAATCTTTATATGCTAAGTAACCTGAAGCTAGGCATTGAGGAATACATAGGGTAGCTCATGTTTTGAGTATTTCCTTGGGTAATTTGGTGATTTTAACAACCTAAGGATGATTTTACATCATATAATTACAGATATATTGACCTAAACATAGACATATACTTGAAGCACCAAATGTAAAAGTGCAAAATGGCACATTTCACATTCATGTATATAATTACTGATGCATTATTGTGTTTATCACTTTAATACTGCAGCTGGTAAAAGTGGAATTAATGTTAATTACCTTATGTTTGTAATTTGAATTACTTTACATAGCCTACTGCTGGGTAGCCTGTGAATTTCCCACCAGGGAGGCAGAGATCAGTAAAATCTTAAGATATACTTCATTTTATTTTATTATTCGAATTCTGAAAAGTAACTGAAGTTATCAAATAGGCCTACAGTTAAACATTTGCCTCTGAGAAGTAGCAAAGTCCAAGTATGAAGTAGCACAAAATGGAAATAGTCAAGTAAAGTACAAGTAGCCTGATTGACTAAGTATACTTAACCTACTTCCTTTCCACAGGTGGGTTTGTAAATAAAAGAGGGTAAAGCAAAAACACTGGCTTCCCTCCAAGAAAAAAAGCGATGTTTATATTTGTTTGTTTACGTTGTTGTTGTTGTTTTCCTCCTGTTTCCTGTGTATTAATCCCCTCACATATGCTCTGCTGGAGGCAGGACGCTGTTTCCCTTTTCAGGGTTTCCCACCTCAGAGAGTTTACTCTTGTGACTTTTAGCAGCAAGTCAAACCTTTCTTATATGCTTCTGCGGGCTACCACGTTGTAGTTCTTGAAGACTCGTCGTCGAACAAGTGTGCACATTGAGATGTAATTCGACACTGGGAGAGGGGGTTTAAGGGCAGAGCAGGCAGCAGTGATTGGTGCAGTGTGTCCGCTGGCCCACAGAGGCTGCACCTTTCCACGATCTCTAGGAGAAAGACGCATTGCCCCGCACTCAGTGTTAGCTAGCTAACTGCTCCAGCCGCAAGTTACCGAAGAAGACTTCTTACCTGGTAGTGATGAGAGGACGGAGCCCACTTCAGACCTCTTTTATGGACTTCGGTGTGTTTTCTCAACGAGGACTTGGCGGCTCTAACTTCTTCCCTCTGTCCTTCCTTAATCCAGTTTGACCAGGGAAAGGAGTGAAGTGCGACCCCGAGCTGGATGGATGGTTATGGGGAAAAGAGGAAGACCCTCGGCGCTTGAAGTGTGCAGAGTCCTCGCAGTGTTTCTCTCACTCTTCCCCTCCGGTATGAACCACCATTTGTTACCTTTATTCAGCTGGCCCTTTTTAAAGCTAGGTTATAGTTCAGGTACTACAAACCGAATGAAATCACAGCGTAATATTATCATAAGTTAGCGACTTAAAGCTACAGCTAGCTTCTTTTTCACCATGGCCAGCGAAGTTGCCAGGTTCGGTCCATGCCCATATTAGTCTAAATACTTTTATAAGCTAGAGTTATCAAAAAATAAATAAATAAATAAAACTCTTTTAAAAGGTTTATGCCGAAGCCCACAAACGGTTACAAAACTGTTATTAAAATGGATAAATATTTATAATTTGCCCTGGCAATCAGAGGAATCCCACCACCATCAGTCCAAAAATGATTGCAATCTGCTGGTGGGGAAAAAGTCTAGGGCGACGTGCTTACGTGTGGAAAGGTTTGGAAAATATTACAACAGGCTTGAAAAAGAACACGTTTATCATGAAAAATTTGACAGCTTTCGGTGGCTTTAGTAATTTGTATTTTAAATTTGTATTTTATTTTATTTAATCGGATAAAGAACAACAGGGGTGCTGTAGGAGCTGCAGGCGTCAAACCCTGTTTTGTTTGGGGGATGGGGCATACCTCAGTATGTTACATTAACTCCTCGACATTAACTGATTTGTTTCATCCTTTGGTTTGGTTATTAATCCGAGGGATGTTTCCAGTACTGCCAACGATACCTAAAGAAACAGTTGAGACTTTTTTCGGAGAGTTTATGATGGTTTTGAATGTGCCCTGCTGAAATGTTTGAAAGCTCAGTGTAACATATCTTTGATAAGATTTTTCAAAAGTTCTATTGAAACACAAATATTCCCATAAAAATTAGCACTAGGGTAACAGTGTAATATATTAGGAAGACACAATTTTGAACTTAAATGGTCATAATCTCCTTGTAATTTGTCCATAGGAATGACTGAAGTGGGTCGTTTTTGCAGTGCAAACACCTCATTCACTCATCTTGCATGTTTGCCAAACCCTTATCAGTTTCCCTCTCAAGTCACTTAACCATCAAACAACAAAGTGATAATGCACTGATAGTTGAGATCAAGATTAGTTTACTGCCATCTATCAAATGGGTGGTAAACAGAGAGGGGTGTGAGGGAGGGAGGGAGGTTGTTTAAAGTGTGACTTCAAAGTGTTGATAGGTTTCACCCAGTGAGACACAGTTCACATCCCATTCAGATAAATGCTTTAGTCAAAGGTACTAATCAAACATGGTGTTGTAACTGGGCATCCTGAGATATGTTTGAAAGGCGGTTGCGTAAAGACTTGGCCAGATGTGCTGTTAACACCAGAGACAACAATCTATAGTCAAGCAGTATTTAGTATCACTAAATGTGTAGATTAGGATATGAAATGGTATTTTTACTTGTACCTACACCAGAAACCACTGGAAGTACACGTTTTTACAATAATCAGAGAGGACACCTCATACCCTGCTTGTTTTCTACTAAAACCCATTGTTACACCCTATAGGATGTGAAGATTTACTTAGCTGTAGATGCTATTTGTTGTTGTTCTTGGGGTATACATGGCGCTTTCCCTTTCTGTTCTGTTGACCAGAGGACAAAAATGTGGCAAAAGATAACTACTTGTTGTTATTATAATGTGTAATGTGGAAAGAAAACACAAGATATTTGGCACTGAAGCCTAACAGTAATTTCCATGTGGGCATCAGACATAAGTTGACATTCATAATTAGCTGGAAAAGTTCTGACTGTTCTTGTTTTAGATGTGCTTTTATGTAAATTTGTGGTATTTCAAGTTTCTAAATGACAGGGTTTGCTTCTGTTGTTCAAATTGTGTCTTGTGCCTCCCTGACAGTGAGTCTGCAGTGCAAGATCCTCAAGTGTAACTCAGAATTTTGGGCCTCTACCTCGAACTCTGGACTAGAGGAAGAATTTTGCACAGCTCTGCGAGCATACAACAGCTGTGTACGCCGGACTGCGCGTACCTGCAGAGGTGACCTTGCGTACCACTCTGCCCAGCATGGCATAGTTGATTTAATGAGCCAGCACAACTGCTCCAAGGAGGGGCCAACGTCCCAACCACGTGCCTGGACCCCGCTTCCTCCTCCGCCCCCGCCACTCCTGCCTGACAGCCAGGAACGCTCAGATGGCCCGGAAGTGTGCCACTATGAGCGAAGTTTTCCACGCAACATACCGCCGCCTAACTACACCCACTGTGGCTTCTTTGGAGACCCGCACCTCCGAACCTTTGGTGACGATTTCCAGACATGTAAGGTGGAAGGAGCCTGGCCACTCATCCACAACAAATACCTGTCTGTCCAGGTGACCAACACTCCTGTTGTGCCAGGGTCTTTTGCAACCGCCACAAGCAAGGTGGGCATTTTATCTGCTGCATGTTTTGTCTATCAACCAGATAGTCAGCCAGCTAGGGCTGCAACTGGCATTCTGTCTGTTATTCTGTTGAATGTATTTTCTCCATTAATCATTCAGCTTTTGTTTTGTTTTGCAGATATGTATGTATGTACAGGTATGTGTGGGTTTGGAATGTCAGTCAGATAATAGAAAAACTGTTGGAAGATTTGTGGTATTTAATGAAAAACTAAAATATTTTCTACATTTTGTAGGCTTAAATGATTAAGAACTAATAATTGATCAGTTAATCTGAAATGAAAATATTCTTTACTTTGTGTCTAAGTTGTACTAATGTTCCATGTTAGTTATCAGTGACTTACGTTATCAGAAGTTAGTTTTGGGTTCTTGAATGTTAGTGCTGCAGCTCATATTTCTGGACGTGCGAGTTGTCTTCTTTTATGTGGTCAGACTCCTGTGGGGCTGGTTCTGTGCTAGATCAGGGACTCTCTTTCGTGTTTGGATGAACTCCATAATGACAGATGAAGAAGCCCAACCCAGACCAGTTGCTAAGATCTTGATAAGCTTTATATGACGTGTTAGCATTATAACAGTAGCACTGCATCAAAAGTTAACACGAGGTTCCATTTTCACTTTTCACAGTGGACAGCTCGGGCCGATGCTTGGCCTGCTTAGAGTGTAATCAGTACTGAGCACGCTACAATGTTGTGTCTGCAACGAATTATATATATTTTTTCTACATTATGAGATATTTTCTTTTATAGCTTTATCAGTGGTGCATACCTCATTATTAATGTTTTGGTTAATGGTACATTGGTTAGTCTGGATGGTGCCTGAAATCTCTTTCTGTAGAACTTTAGGTCAAAAACTAAGAGTATCAGTACTTCTACTTCGCAAATTAACATTCAAATTGGTTCAGATTTTGGAAAGTTTTAACAGTAATGACCGGGGACATCAGTCACATTGCAAACTATTTAAACTGAAGCATTTAAACTGAGGTATAAGTGGACTTTGTCCTTAATCACATTTGTTGAAAGTATAATTTTCTATAATCAAGGTTTCTTAATGATACTCCCTTAAGCATTTGTGGATTTGTTTTTTGTTTTGTTTTTTTTAGTTTTTAAAGTAATGACTTTTTTATATTGCTGTTTTTTTAAGCAAATAAGAGCTTATTTAAGATCTTGATTCAGGACAAAGGGAAAAGAAGGTAGCAACCAGTGCCACCTGTACAAACAAGGCCCTTCTGGTAAACGATCAGCATCAGCAGAGCTTTGTGCTGTTGGTACATTGCTCTTGCTACAGCAAATAAAACAGGTTATTCTCATCTTCATTCTCATGGAGCGATAATTGAGGCAAATTGATTTTTTGTTTATTTTTATTAAAAGCTTAAGAAATAAACTAGGCGAAAAAAACGAGAAGTTAATGCAGGGGGGAAATGTAAGCCGCAGGTAGGAAAACATTGAGACAGCTAGTGCAACAGATGGATTGTCAAGCTATTAGAGTATTCATAGACTCCCCCAGTGCTCTGTCCTAAGCGAGCAGACATCAGAGTCCCTCAGCTGTCCTGGCATCACTGCACTGACTATGGCTCATTGGTGTCCTGATGAACTCAAGCTTGCAGAGTCCTGACCAGTCTCACTTAATTAGCTTAGTATATCGCTCTGTCCTGGCCCGATGCCACTCCCTGGAGCATAGTTCTGGGGTTCACAGGCAGGTTTTTCAGCACTATGAATGGATCGTCTTTGTGTCTGCAAACTGAGGCCTGATTTTACATGGCTGAGACTCGTGTTTTTTGAGGGCGTTTACTTTGGCCTCCCCCATCTTGAGCCAGTGCTGAAATGTAACACTTAAGTGGGATGGCGGGGTAGATAGCGCATACTGCGCAAACTTGTTCCTAATGCAAAAGTATAAGCGCTTCCCTTTTTAAATCTGAGGTTTACATTTACTGCACTTTACTTGAATTTCGCACCTGAGCAGAAACTTGCCATACATGCATTTCTGAGAATCTTTGTCAGAAAAAGATGATCATGTGTGTTAAGGGACATTGTTGGCCATCAAAGGACTGTAACACCACCGAGGGGGATAAATATCTCCGGCTCAACACCAGTCAGTCAGAACTGATGAAGCCTCTTGGATGAGAGGTGAAACGTCTTCGACCTAGAAATCTAGTCCAGTTGATTTTTTTTCTAAGTTTTTTCAGTTTACTATGACCTGGATGACTGAGAATCTGCACAGACATGTGTGAAAAATGTTTATTTTGTGTCTTTCTTCCTGCAGCTGACAATCATCTTTAAGAATTTCCACGAATGTGTAGACCAGAAGATGTACCATGCCGAGACAGATGAACTGCCAGCCGCATTTGCAGATGGCTCCAAGAATGGAGGGGATCGGCACGGAGCAAACACCCTGCGCGTGGTGGAGAAGGTTCCCGGGCAGCACGTGGAGATTCAGGCCAGGTACATTGGTACAACCATAGTTGTCCGGCAGGTAGGTCGCTACCTGACCTTTGCTGTGCGAATGCCAGAGGAAGTTGTGAACTCTGTGGAGGAAGGTGATAACCAGGACTTGTACCTGTGTCTTCACGGCTGTCCTGCCAACCAGCGTATCGACTTCAGGAACTTCAAGGCTCGAGCGGCAGAGGCCCACAGTGCAGGCAGGCCCAGGGGCGCCACGTGGGTACATGGCTTTACCTATCAGTCGGCAAAGGCCAAGTGTAAAGAGCGGCTTCCAGTGGAGGATCTGTATTTTCAGTCCTGTGTGTTTGACCTTCTCTCATCTGGAGACATTAACTTCACCATGGCAGCCTACTACGCCTTTGAGGATGTAAAAATGCTCCACTCAAATAGCAAGAGATATCACATTTTTGAAGAGGATGATTTTATGAATAATGCAGCACAGAGGGGCAAAGACTTACTTTCACTCTTCCTCATCAACCTCCTCGCTGTCTTGCTGTGGATTGAGTGTTGCACTGGTCATCCATAGTCCATGTACAACATTATCCCGATGATATATCTGTCACTGAGTGTTAGAATACCATTGGTGTGTCATACATCGGCTCCTCTCTTCTGCTCTGGTTCAGTGACGTGACTGCTGGCTTGCCAGTAACATCATCACAACCTTAAGTCTCATTTTAGCTGCATTGTCATGTCTTCAGTCTAATGACAAGGTGTTCACCCACCTATCATCGCATATATTTAGCTGGTTCTTAGCACTGGTCTTTGAAGAGAGCAGCGGTGAGAGAGCCCAGCTACCCCAGAGCTCAGGGTGTCCACCTGGGATTATATCCCACATTCTCACAATGTCTGCATGCCTGTGGGAAGTCAGACAAGATGATCTTTTGCAGAAAGAGGAGTCTGCTGATCCTCCCCTCCCCTGATCCCTTCATTGGTGCCAAGCCAGTGAAGCTCTCTGTGGTTGATGTGGCCAAGCAAGGGGACCTGACAGGGGCTTTTGTGAACCTAAGGCCAGAAGCAGCTCTATGTTTGATTAGTTTCCAGCTTTGGAAAAGCCTGAGCCTTCTGGAGGAAGCGCTCAGCCAAGAGGATGTCAGAGCAGCATCTCTGTTGTCTGCTGTGGAGATTAATGGGTCACATAATTATGTTGTGCATGTGTGTGTGTGTGAGAGAGAGAGTGCAGCTGTACAATGTGTGTATGTCTGGTTAATTTTGTGTGTTTGTGGGTGCAGGAGATCCCAGAAAAATGGGGTAACAAATCTCTGGTGGGAGAAATCTTTCAAATGTCATGTTGTTGCACCCAAAATGTCAGAAATGGGAAAGACAAGGTGCTCCACACTTTGTTCAAATGAACTCTATCAGCCAAGTAGCAAATCCCACAAGTGAACAGGTAAAAATAATCTCGTACATCTGTACATCATTTCCAGTGTCATGCAGCCTTTTTCCTTCATTGTTTGAGCTGACACGTTGCTCAGGCAATGTTTGTTGTTTTGTTTTTTAAGTCTGTAATGTGAATGTAGTTAACAAGAAAGCAAAAAAACAAAGTTAGTTAAGGGCACTTACGTGGTTTTACAGAATGTAGCCCAACCGATTATACGCGGACACCTCTCTGTGAGTATTTTGTGAATTTAAATCTTCATTGTAAAAGTGGTTTAGATACTGTTAGCACTAGCTGTAATGACGTCACCTGTAGCCAGCTCAGCTTTTTATACACTACCAACGTGTGGCTTAGTGAGTAAACGATAAGCACATGTCTGTAGACGTGATTCCATGGCTTAAGTCATTGCCAAAGAACAAGCCTTGTGCCAACAGTTGAATTTTCATCTTTCAGTCTGAAACAATTCATATTAGGGAGGTTCTTAATTATATATCACTTTAGTTTGTGGGAGAATCTGCAGTATGCAGAAAAGTGACAGTACACTGTAAACGTGACATTTGTTTCTGTTGTTTCAGTCTCACCTTTGTGTTTCATGATAACACTCCTAATTCCATTTGACCTTGGCTCCCAGCTTTAGTATCCAGTAATGTGTAAATCATCCATGTTGATACCGTTACTACTCGGGCACAGTTTTACATTTATATTTTACACTGAAGTATTTGGCAGGTCTTAGTACTGCTGCTTGGATTATGCATTGGTGCAGTTTGAGAACACACACACACAAAAATCATACAAACAAATGATTGTAGTGTTGAATCTTGTGTTAATAGATGTAATCTGTATTGTGAGTTATACAGTATATGGTTCTACATGTGTAATAGGAGATTGTACACATTTTTGTGAGTTTAAATTTGTATATTACCAATTGTGTTTTGAATTTATCACTTCAGTTTTTGTACATAATGTCTTGGTGAATGTGAGCCTTTTTTATTTAAAAAAGGATTTTTGCAAAAACATGAACACCACAGAACAAATTATTCCAAAACAGTATACCAGGTCTGTGTGGAGTTGTTGGTTGTCATCACTTGTTGCCTTCTTAGGTGATGATAAAGTAAAACATCCTGAATGCAGTCCACGTTATCTAGAAAAGCAATGTAGGAAAGTGTTCTGGGGTGTTTGTGTTTTTGAGGTGAAAGCACTTTATGTTTTCTTTGTTTTTTATTTAGCTCTTATTTTGTTTGAAATTCTGTGTCAGACTTCTCATGGCTCAAAAGAATAATAAATAGCTGACTGGCAAATGCCAGAAAGATCAAACTGTTTGTATGTAAAGCAAATGTGGTGCCACACACCAGCTGTTTATAATGTAAATTATTTATTGAATTAAAGAAAATGTCTTGTTAATGAGGCACACGGGTCTCATTTGCTGTTAGAGCACTTGTTGAAAAACTCACCACGTGTTGCTCTAATTTGTTGTGTTTGACTGCCCCCTACTGTAAAGACGATGTGGTGTGTTGAATGTGAGATGTTTGGATTAAGAGCAAGGCCAGTCAGTATAGAATGTCCAAGAAATGGTCTTAAGAAAGGTCCTAAACTTTGAAGATGAGTCAAAACATCTTAGTAGGAATCAGGACTGTGTATAAAGATGTTCAGAGTAACTTTAGGTTAGTGTGAATACAGTGGTTCCTCAGTGTTGGAACTACCTACAGTGCCCTACCTCAAGCCCTGACAGCAAATAGCAGACTTCTAAGGTGCTGTCCTTATAGTTTCATCAGTGCATTGCAGCATGCAAGAAGTTTATTTGTCCATTTACTCACAAGTTTGTATAGTTAGATGTTACACACCAAACCAATTTTACACTTTATTCACTCTTTAAACTTTTACCAGAAATTGTGACAGCTCAGCTAATGTAAGGTGTAGCTTCTGCGTTTGCTGACAGAGATCTTCAGAGCAAATTTAAAGAATTAGTTGAACCAAAGTCTGAACACTTCAGTACATCACTTATTTTTACACATTAAAGACCAAAATGTGTTTATACACAGTAGCCCTGAAGATCTGTTGTGTTTTTGCAAAAGGGATTATATGATGTTCATCAAGTCAGCATAAAGAAAGAACAGTAGACAAACTTTCATTGTGTAACAAAGTTTATTACATATTTCCAAATGTATGTACAGCACATGTCTCATGAAGAGTGGTTTTGTCACAAATATAAATTATTTAGACTTTCTTAAAGAAAATATGATACAGGAACTGTAGCTTGTTTAAACGTGAAAAGAAAAAAAAAATGTGCTGGCTGTTCACTGTAACAGGCCGGATAAGTGCCCTGGACAAAACACACTATTCCTTTACATTGTTTCACCCCAATTTTACCCTCAAATCATGTACTTCTTTAGAAATCACAGAATCATATAAGTTACCAGAACACATGGTCCCTTCACCTGTTTAAATCATACTAAATTATGATTTAGTAAGAGTAATTTCCTATAATGTGACTGTTTAATACTATTTAATAATACATCCTGTCTGTGTTACACCACAGTACTGTCCATAAACCCATATACAATATATTAATAGACATAAATAAGGCACAAATGGAAAGCATTATACAAAAAAAAAAAGAGGGTTAGAGCTGGACTAGATTTGGCACAGGAAAACAATGATCAACAGTACTAAACATAATGAAATGTCATTGGCGACTTCCGGACAGTTCAACAATGTACCAGCAACAGCAAAACTCTGTGAATCAATAATATTGTCAAACCATGGATAAGAAAAAAAGGTTTTGTCACATAGTATCATCAAACTTTTTTTTTTTCTTTTAAACATACATAGCTGAAAAGATGGGTGAATTAATGAAACTAAACTGAAGTACCATTCCTAACCATCATTAATACCTAAAGGCAAAAATAAAAGATTGTTTTAAGTCATAGTGTTATGAACCTTTGTATGAGTTGTTGCAATAAATACTGCTTATCAAAAGCTTCCATTTCACAGGGCCTACTCAGTGAACAGAGCAAGAGCATTGCGATGCTTTATATAGCTACACCATTAAAGAAATAATGATTATTTGTACACGTGAGAAACATGATATTGTTAAAACATTTTTTAAACTTTATGTTGAGTGTTTAGAGGAAACATACTGGCTTGGACTGATCTGTCAAAAGAGCCAGACTGTCCCATCATGCCACCATTTTAATCCACATGGTGATACTTCCACAGTTCCGTTCAGCTACATGTTCAAGATAAACATTTCAAAGGTGCAGATGAGAACACGTTACACATTCGTTTGTATTGAAATCTTCTAACGACAGCGTTTGCGAGACTAAACACACACAAAACAAAAAACAATGTCTGTGTCAGGGGTCCTCTGGGAATAATCCCATACACTTACCATTCAAAAAGGCCAAAACCTACAGGCACTTTTAGGATTGAGCTCAATCATCAGTTCATGTTTCCTAAGTTCTCCTTTAATAATAGTCCATGGGACTAAGCATCCATAGACATGATTGTAGTTCCAAGCATCCACTCAGTCTTACCATGACTGACTGATCAAGTCAGTTCATTTAAATAAAGATGCTTGTTTTATTTGTTATTTGTTTTGTTTTTTTCTCCGATGTGAAGATGACATGAGGAAACAAACTTCTTCCTTCAGGGCACAAAATGTTCACAGCCACAGTCATTCTAGGGGAAAGAGCAAAATAGTTTGGTTTTGCTGGTAAGAGAGTGCGTGTCGATTCCCTTTCCAACTGAGCTTATGATTGGTGACTCCACACTTGTTCATCAGCAGCAGCATGTGGCCTTGACCTTGGAGAAAACACCCAGATCAGTTATTTAACCAACACTAGCAGACTTTAAGTTTTCCTGTTGTTCCAGCTGGGGTCTGGCACAGCGTTCAGCTCTACGGGTCGCTCGAGCGGAGAGCGGGAGTCCTGGGGAGACTTCTGGGCCTGCGGGGAGCGAGGGTCCAACAGCGGTGGAGGTTTGTCAGGGTGGAAAGGCCTGCTGTAGTGCTCTAGCCCAGGAGGACCTACCGGCCGGTGATCTGGCATCCTCCTGAAGTCCTGAAGGGGACCCTCTAGTCCTTGGTGGTAGTTTGGACGGAACTCATCAGAACGTCTTCTTTTGGGGTCCAGATGCCTGAAATACCATTCACAGCATGATTTTTATAAACCAAAGGGATGAAACCATGGCTATCGTCGTATTTAAAATGACTTGAACGAAGCATTTTGCTAGGTTAGAATAATCCTCACCTGTCATAATAGGGTCTGTGTCCCCTGTGGTCCCGGTCATTGCTGTACTGCTCATATGGCCTTTTTCGGGGGGAGATGTTGTTGCGATAACTGCCTGAGCTGCGATAAGAGTCTCCGTGTGGACGTCGATCACTATAGTGATCCTTGTAGCGATGCGGGTCATATGGATGATGTCGGTCTCCCTGCCATGACTGGTTGCTGTTACCGGGGTAACCATATTTACGGTCCCTCTGCCAGTCTCCTCGATCTGTAATGAAATATAATGCATTTAACATTCGTTTTTTCTTAGCGAAAAAGGTTTCAACGTGTTTTACCTGTATAATTCTATGTACAGTATAATGTTCTATAAGTCACCGATCAGAAAATAACAGCTTGAAAACAAAAAGTCTATCCACACATACCATCACTGCCAAAGTGCCGCTTGTTAACCGCATTGTATGGTTCTCTGTGGTGTCTGTGGGGCCCTGGCTGAGCCAGGTGAGACGTTGATTTGGAGGATGGCTGCGTACCCGTGGAGTCTCTACTGGAACCAGAGGGTTCTGGTCTGAACGGCTTTACCCTCCCTGCATGATCATCCTTCTTCTTCTGCTCTTTCTGGAAATGTCACAGGCTGTTTTGAGTGCTGGTTGCATACAAGAGACCACATTCGCTTGAGGAGTCTTGTTAAACCACAGTGTTTCTGATTTGAAACTGGAGCAACTTACCTCTTCCTCATGCGATCGCTTCTTCTGTGCCATTTTGTAAAGCTTGTGAAGCTTCCTTGCACCAAACTCTGTAAACTTAGATACAAAAATCCAGAGGTTTCTGCCAACAAAGGCACAAAATAGTCATCAGTAGTGTTTAAACAGGCGAGCATCATGATTAATCTCACAGAGGTCGAGTCCAGTCATCTTACCTTCGCCATGTTTTGACATGCTCAGGGTCACTGTAGGCTTTAAGGCACTCTGTGATACGGTCTCCAATCTTCAGCAGGCATGTGCGTGTATGCTGGAGTTGCTCCTGGTCAGACAGACCCTCATCTGGTTTATCCAGCTGCTTCAGGGCCTTTTTCACCGGCCTCATGCGCTCCTTACACTGAAACACATGCACAAATTGGCTAGATTATTGAACTGCACAGCTTCTTGGACTCCATGATTAAAAAAAAAACAAGCTATGCAGCAATGTGATCAGTAATGTGCAAGGGTCCTGTAGCACAGGTCTGCCTCTTCTTTTGCTTCTTGTCATCATAACCACTGTCTGTCCAATTCTTATGCTTACCTTTGCACAAGAATTAAAGAAGAAAGAGAAAGAGAAACTCACAACACTGAAAGTCTCCTGGTCGAGTTCATCATCCTCCTTTCCTTCTATGGGAACGGGCTCAGAGCCTGCTGTAATATGAACTGGACCCTGAGTCTTCTTACCTCTGGATCCTTTGTTTGCCTGAAAGACAAAAATACCAGACATCAAGACAATTAACCCCTATCTGCCATTCACATAGCACACAGATTATCCACAGGATGAGGACAGACAGGCAAAAAGCCATGACTTTCTATCCACTGTCCTTTAGCTGCATGCTTTAAGATGTGTAGCACTGCAAAAAAATGCCTGAATCACTCTCAAGAACCTCATTTCATTTCTGTCATGTAAAAAAAATAGTTAAAAATGCAGTATGTTACATTCATGAATACTGTTGTGAAATACCTTTTCTTTTCTGGGCTTTGTACCCTTCTTTTCTTTGTCCCTGTCCTTCTCCTTTTTAGGAGTTCCCTGTTTTTCTTTGTTCTCTTTGTTATCCTTTTTCTTTTGCCTCTTCTTGGTGGGGGACTTCTCTGTTCCATCATCCTGCTCAAACATGAGAAAGACAATGCAAGTTAAACAATATAACAAATGGAAAACCTGGACACAGACATATAACTGCAGTGGTCATCTTATGGCTGACCTTGACCTCACCCTCCTCTGACAGGTTGTCAGACAGGTGGGGGGAGGAGATGTCATTGCCCTGCTCATCCTTGAGAATCTTGTTCTCCTTTTTCACCCGAGGCTTCCTCTTCTTCACTTTGACCTTTATAGGAAGTGACTGCATGAGCGATGGGGCAGGTAGGGGGCTTTGTGCACATCAAAGTGGTGAAACCAGTGTGGATGAGTTACTCAGCGATTAATAGCAACATACCTCTTCTCCTGTTTTAGACAGGTCGGTGTTGTCTTGTTCTTTTTTCAGCAGCTTGAGAAGATATTCTGCTCTCGCCTGTAACTGCTTGGCCTGAGGCTTTTTACTTGGATCATCTGGAAGAATCTGCAGAAGTATGTGAATACTAAGTGTTTCATAGAGCACTGAACTGCATTGTGTTTTTCAAAGTTTTTACAATACCTCAACATGCCAGTTCTGTTTAAAATATACTTATAAAAGTCTTCACGCAAAATTTGTGCTAATTTTGTTTTATTATTCCTCTTCAGGGCAGCACGGTGGCGCAGTGGTTAGCACCGTTGCGGCTTCCTCCCACAGTCCAAAGACATGCAGCTTAGGTTGATTGGTGTCTCTAAATTGCCCATAGGAGTGCATGTGCGTGTGTGTGGTTGTTCGTCTATGTGTTAGCCCTGCGATGGATTGGCGACCTGTCCAAGGTGTACCCCGCCTTCGCCCGATTGCTGGCCGGGATTGGCTCTGCCCCCCCCGGTGACCCCGTTCAGGGACTAAGCGGTAGAAAATGAATGAATATTCCTCTTTATGGAAAATCCCTCCCTTACTCCATGATCAAGGTACTGCAGCTTTTCGATACAGTATTTACCTTATCAGCCAGTTTAAGGTCGGGGTCTGTCTTGATCAGATCCCAGTTGCCAAAGCCGTGCTCATAGGTACCAAGCAAGAGCTGAATGTCATCCTGCAAATCCCAATCCACATCAAAGTGGGCTACCTTCACTCTGTATGTCAGCTTGAACCTGTGGAAAAGGTTTTTCAAGTTTAATCTGTAACACAGACTCACATTTTCTGAACCATCCTATCTAGAAGCAATACAAAGGTCACACTCTCAATTATACTCGCAGTGGTATCTTACTTATTCCTCTCAGCAGGGTTTGAGGGCACTGCTTTGTGCAGCGGCTCAAACTCTTCCTCGTGCTGGATGATGGACTTGGCATTGACCTGCACTCCTGAGATCTTAATATTAATTCCTCGCCGCTTCCCAGGACCTTTGGCTAGAATAACAATAACACCATGCAAAATTTTTAGGCCTGGAAAATGCAGAAATTTGAAAGAACTCTCAACAAGTAATACTAACACACCTTCAACTGGGTTCTCTTTAACATGTTCCTCGTGCTCCTGCACTGCAGCCACACAGCTAGAATGGATCAGTTCACCGAGTCTCTTCAGATCTGCTATTGATTTGTCCACTAGCTCAGAGTCTCGGGCAATTGCCTCTAACCTGAATACAGAGAAGATCTTCTGAATGCATGGTACAGCTGATAACTTCATGAGTCATATTTAAATAAATGATCCAGACATATAATGGCTATTAATATCATTTAATAATATGCTTACCTTTCAAGTGGAGATCCAAATTTCTTGTATGCCTTAATGAACCTGTTAGATGTTATTTTGAATACATTATTAACTGTTATCATGAAAGAACAATGACAGACAACTGGGCTTCATTGTAATAATAAAAATACAGATTAAAACTGAAAAAAAAAATCCTCAATGAACACTTTACCTGCGGATCTCTGCATCAGTGAAACCCTCCACATTGTTTTTGCGGGCTCTAGGTCTGCCTCTCTTCTTTGGCTTCTTGTCATCGTCGCTATCGTCCGTCTCGCTTTCAGAGCCTGAGGATCGGTGCTTCAGCTTGGAGCCCACGTCGCTGTCACTGTCATTGGCTTGAGCCTGGAAAATACAAGAGCCACTGTGAGCCAGCTGAAAAGCTCAGAGGCTAATAGAAGATGGCACATCACTTAAATAATGGTGGCAATCAGTGCTGGAAAATAGGCAAACAGCATTTTTACTTTAGCAAATAAATTGGTAAATTCTCTTCTTACCCTCTTGTTAGAGCTTCTGCTTCTGGGCAGCATGAAGATGTCTTCCATCTCCCGCTGCTTCTCCTCTTCCTCAATTTTGCGTCGCTGCTCCTCAGGAATGATATCATCCCATTCCCGCATGGGCTTCTCCTCGAACTCTGGAGTGCTCTCATCCATGCTGGAGAAATTGGCCACCTGTGACAGAGTGCAAAGAGACAGAGAGAGAGAGAGGGAGAAGTTAAAAGGGAGGGATGCCTGTCATTAGATTTGATATCAGTTTCTGAAATCAGGTCTCTGGATACTGAACCATAATTTAATAAACAAACTTGTAGATACCTTGAACTGAGATAGAAGTTCATCTGTAGCACTTGAGCCCTGGTCACTTTCACGTGTTTCAGCTAACCTCAGGATCTCTTCAATATCCATCTCCTACAAAATCAAAGAAATTGTAGTTTATTTTCTAAAGTATACAAGTATTTTTAGTGCAGGATCACTGACTCATTGTGATACCTGTGGTTCAGACTCCTCTCCTTCTGCCTCTTTGAAAAGATCTTCTGCACCAAACTTGAGAATAGCACTCAGTTCTTCTTTATTGAATGGGTTTGAACTGGGAAAAGATGTTAACCACATGGAGAGCTCCAGTATCTCAACCAATCATGAAAAAGCTGTAACTCATTTTTGACATCTTACTTTGTGTTTCCTGAATTGCTGTCCAGCACAGTTCGTCCAGTGGTGTCCATCCTCTGAATGACAAGATGGTCCAAAACCATCTTCTTCTTTGCCCTCTCAATAATGTCCTCCTCCACTGTTCCTTTGGTCACGAGTCGGTATATATTCACCTATGAAGGGAAAGCACAGGCATATTTTATACAAGAATCTTACGAGTTATGCAGTATATACAGTGCACAATGACAGCTATGAATTTGAGCAGTCGGTTACCTGTTTCTTCTGGCCAATCCTGTGAGCCCTGGCTTGTGCCTGCAGGTCATTTTGAGGATTCCAGTCAGAGTCAAAGATGACTACAGTGTCTGCTGATGCCAAGTTAATCCCTAAACCTCCAGCTCTGGTGGACAACAGGAAGCAGAAGTCCTAGAAAACAGATTAAACCTACTAAAGATGTCCTCCAGAAACATACAGCAAACACCAAACATTGGTAAATATACCTTGAATTTTCAAGAACACAGGAAATAGTAAAATGATGATCATAAATTAAGCCGTATAAATTTATCAAATATACCCACCACGTGCTACTACTCTCAAAAAAGTGACCCAAAAAACAAGATGAACATGTGCTGTGTTTGTTTAAAAATCAGTATCACCCATTTGCCTGCATTTTTTGTAACATCTCAACAATGAAGTCACTGTGGAAGTGCATTTGACAATAATTTTAATACTTATAATAAGAAAAATGTATTAAATTTACTTCAGCTTGAACAAACATTTCCATACTTGCCATCTCTGTTCATATCAGTTAGTAGTAATAAGTTAGTCTACATACCTCGGAGCCTTCTGCATTAAAGTGGTCAAGTGCTTGCTTTCGGATTTCTCCTTTTATGGAACCGTCCAATCGCTGAACAGGACAGAGGAAAACAGAGATTTATCCACTGATGCTTCCCTAGGGAGCTATCTCCTCCACCCTCACCATCACTCTGCTTTCCTTTGTACCCTGTCTATACGCCCAGACTTTATCACAACAGTCTACTGCAAAGAATAAGTCAGCAAAACAACCCAAGTCAGATGACTTGCAGTAGTCCAGCTGGTCTTCAGAAGAAAATAACTTGCCGATATAAATAACCAGATGAAATCTCAGCTTGGCAGAGTGTGTGCGCAACGACACTGACATCTGATCCCCGTTCAACCCCCACCCCACTGTGTGTACTTGTATGTGAAGTCTGGAGTGAAATCTGAACTCAACCCCAAACTGTGCAAATCTTACCTGGAATGGATAGCGCTTCATGGTAAGGTATTCAGCCAGAATATCCAACATCCTGACCATCTGGGAGAAGATAAGAACTCGGCTGCCTCTCTCTCTGAGTCTGGTCAGCAGCTTGTCCAGCAACACCAGCTTCCCGCTGCCCCTCACTAGATTCTATGACATACAACGTTAAATCAGAGAAATGAACTAACTGAGGCATCTGTTGATATTATCGTGTTTTCTTCTATGTTGAATCACAACTAGTTTCCTTTGCAGAGTTGTCCCGAGGTGCTGATTGAATCTAAAAAGGGTTCATAAAGAGACTTACCTGCAGGTGTTCCTGCTGTGTTTCAGCATCTCCCTCCTCAGGCTGCTTAATGAGGAAACTGTGGTTGCAGCACTTTTTCAGCTCCATAACAATATTCAGGAAGCCAGAGGAGCTGCCTCGAGTGCCTTTATTAAGAGCTTTGTAATTCCTCGTTAAAATCCACCTGGAAATATTCAGGATCAAATTAAGTTAATGGGGAGAAGAAATGCAGCAACTGTACAAGTGGTTTATGTAAAAGACAAGTGCAATAAAAATGTTAAGACAGTGATAAAACTCGTACTTATAAAACTGTTTCTGTTGTGCTGTCATGTCTACACGGAGGATCTGTTCCACCTTAGCAGGCAGAGACTTTTCCACATCTTTCTTGACACGTCGGAGGAGGAAAGGCTCAAGTACTTTGTGAAGACTCTGATAACCATTTTCCCTTCCTTTCCCATGTTCATCCTCAAAATCCTCCCAAGAATCAAACCTGCAGTGCACAACAGAAATGTCACTCTTCTTGGTTGGTGTTGATGAGCATTTCAGTTCTGCATCATAATAAATGAATAAACCAGGACATACTTGTCAGGCATGAGGAAGTGCAACAGTGACCAAAGCTCTTTGAGGGAGTTCTGCAGTGGAGTGCCAGTAATGAGGAGTCTGTGGTTGGACCTGAACTCCATTAATGTTTTGTACAGCAGGGAGTCATCATTCTTCAGCCTGTGAGCTTCATCCACACCTAGGAAAGCCCAGTTAATGTTCCCAAGCACCGTCTGGAGACAATGTTAATTGTTGCAAGTTACTCTCTTCATGCATGCAATAAAAGCATATAGTAAACACAACCATAAATAAGTATTTGATTCATCATTGGACCTACCTTGTCTTTAAGCAGAATCTCATAAGTAGTTAATAGTGCGTTGAAACGAATTCTTTTCGTTTGATGGTTCACCCATTCGTAGTCACGGATCTACACAAAACAGAAGTAAGTTTATGTATCCAACACTAGAGATACCACAGCAATACTGAACACACTAATTCAACCTACCGTTTTCCTGCTCATGACATCACCGAGGTACACCACCACATTAATGTCTGGAGACCAGTTGGCAAACTCCCTCTGCCAGGAGGTGAGCGTGGAAAGAGGAACCACCAGTAAGCAGGGCCCGTACAACTGATGCTGGTGGAACAGGTAGGACAGGAAGGAGATGGTCTGGATGGTCTTTCCCAGCCCCATCTCATCTGCGAGGATAACACTGTTGCACCTAAGGAGGATTAAGGATATAAAAGGATACTTTTCCTTCATACACAGTCCATTGTTAGTCTTTTTTCTCAAAATAGGTAACTAAAACCAACTAATTATTATTTACCTGCACCAGGAGTGAGCCAACCAGTTCAGCCCATCTAGCTGATAATCTCTCAGCTCTAGGTTCTCATCTCCTATATACGAAGGTTGTTTCTTCAGAGCAACAAACCGTGGCCTTTGCTTTAACACCTGAAATAACAGGAAGAAACAAGGTTTATCCAGTTATGAGTAGAATAAAAAAATGACCACGGCAGCACAGTGGTGCAGTGGTTAGCACTGGAGGCTTACAACCAGAGGGTTCTGAATTCAAGCTTGCAGGCCAACTGGGGCCTTTCAGTGGGGTGTTCTCCCCATGCCTGTGTGCATGGTCTCTGGGCACTCCACTTTCCTCCCACAGTCCCAAGACATACAGGTAAGGTTAACTGGTGACAATAAGGTGGTTTTCGCTCATACCTTGCAGTCTTTAGAGGGGATGGTTTTGCTGGAGTTTCGGTTCATGAAGCTGTCTATGCAGTGTTGAAACTTCTTCCTAACCAGAGCTCCATCTTCCCAGCTGCACTCTGAATAAGGTAACCCCATCCATTTGCATAGATACTCTGGCTCATTGGAGGATGGTGTCTTGTGACTATGAGCTGTTTAAAATGCAGACACACTTAGACAACTGATTGTGACACAAAGTAAAAGCACTTAATACTTGACAGAAATGTACAGAACACCATTAAAAAAAGCCAGTGAACAAAATGTGAGAGTCATGCTGAAAAATAAGAGAAGGGACTTACAAGGAAAGTCAGAGGATCCTGGTGTCTTTCCTGTTTTTGTTGCTGTTAATAACAGAATTAATTTAAGTCCATTCAATTCAATTTTATTTGTATAGTGCCAAATCACAGCAAAAGTCATCTCAAGGCACTTTACATAGTAGACCTTACTATTATACGTGCAGAAGAAATAACACACAGACAAATACATCTGTAGCACTAACAGACAACATCAAACACACAATGACTTCTTACCGATGACACGCTCAACAATTTGAAACTGCTTGTTCAAGTCAGCCGTGAGCTCCTGTTGGCAGTTATGAAATTCTACATCCTCAGGGGATGCGTTCCTCAACCTACAAACAAGGACAAAATAAACTGTGAAAATTCATGAAAGATTTGCAACTAAAATGTTAATGTGGAGACAAAGATTTTCACCATGAGTTGAGCTCTTCAGTTTTCTTTTTGTAGTTGTCCAGTTTCTTTAGCCCCTTGACCTTTTGCTGCGTCAGAGAGTCCATGCTCTCCCATGTGTTGTGGATGTAGGACCAGCCCTTCCACTTGATCAGATACTGAGTCTCCCCCTCATCTTTCTCAGGGTCAAAGCCGTCACATGGGTCTCCATTTTCCTCTATAGCATATACAGTAGTTGAAGCCCCAGTGGCTAAGAGAGCCAAAAAATAAAATAAGTTTTGAACCCTTATGTATTTTTATGAGAAAGAACATGATTTTCAAAAATAATGAGAAATAAGTGAAAACATGTCACCTCCTTTTTTGCCTATTCTGGTGTCCATAACCTTCTCAATGGTTTCACTGTCATCATCCTGCTGCTCCTCGCCTGCATCCCCTGTCATTTCAATCAGGTCGTCAGAGTCTGTTTCAAAGTCATGTTGGTCCTCTTTATAACTATAACACAACACAAAGACAGGGCATAACAGTCAGTGTACAGGTGATGGGCATTTATCAATAAAGCCACTTTTAACTACCTTCTCTAACGGAAAATGTCAGACTAGAGTCCTGATTAAACTAAATCTGTCCCTGTCAAACAATTCAATGCAAATTAAAACTTGTAATAAAAACAAATCAAAATTTCTGGGGAGAAAAAAAATACTTTGGTTCAGAAATGCACCTTTTGACTTTTGTTGCACCCCTTCTTCGAGTCTGCCTCTTAGGAGTACCTTCCTCGTCATCGTCATCATCATCGTCGTCGTCATCCTCCTCCTCCTCATCTTCGTCAACTGATGACTCCTGTTTCCTGGACTTACTTCCTTTTTGAGACAGCTGCTTTTTGACATTTGATGATTTGGTCTGAGGTCTGTAAAACACAGAGTTAAACACACAAACATGCAAACCACTTAGAGACAGTGAACTACATTCCTAGACACCTGTCATAGTGATTGTGGTCTCTGGCTGACTGACAAACTGCAACCAACAACCAGTATGGCCACGCTTCTTTTGCAATCTGAAAAGGATTTTAAATCAGGTTTTATCATTAGATTAAATTGCATATTTTAGCATTCTGGTGTGTACTTTGTAAGAAATTAAGGGGAAAATATGTAATGAAACAACTGCTCATACAATACGGAGTGATTTGGAGATGAGCAGTGGGTAGCTGTCTGATGGCCAGGGTTTGCTACACTCTTACCTTCTAGCAGGAAGTCGTCTGGATCTAACTTTTATCTCATCCTGCTCACTGTCTGTACTGTCGGAAGCCTCCTCCTCCACCTCCTCCTCCTCTTCATCATCATTTGAGTCATCTTTCCAGATATTTCTTACAACAAAGAAATGCCACAAGTTCACCCTCAAGGCCCATCACTGCTACAACCAATGATGATTTCATAAAACACTGGCCACTGGGTGTTCAGCACAATCCAGTTTGATCAGGGATAAGCCACTGATCTGACCAATCAAATTTGCTGTAAAGATCACCTGGCTAACTGAAAGCAACTGAGCCCATTGTGAGCCAGACAGATACCCATTTACAAATAAGCATTAGATGATAAGAATCACAATATGAACACACATTGGTAACAGAATGACACAAACAGATGTGAACTGTGAACAACTACTGTATGGATCAGTGTAAATAAAACACTTGCTAACAAAAGAGTGTCAAGTGTTTCAACATGGCGGTATTCAAAAAGATTTAAAGGATACAGTACTGTACTGTAAAATAAATTCAATTACAGAAATAAAATAATAACAATACAAATCCTAAAATATGTTCACAACCTTGTTACTTACTCCTTTTTCTTAGTCCGTGATTTCCTCTTGGGGCTTTCACTTTCAGAGTCACTGCTACCCTGTAAATAGAGCCAGCACAGCAGATCTACATTTAAGCAAGAGGTTCGATTCCACAAATATTATGTAGCAGCACCAACAGATAATATCCACTTAGATGACACAAGCAGCCAGGACAAAGGAGTTGATGCCAACAGTGGTAACTGTCAGACCTGGTGCATGGTCTTCAAGTCTGCTTACCCCAGCTCCAATGTTTAAACGAGCCGGCTCCTGTCTACTGCGATTTGACCTCCTGACCCCATAAACATCTGGATGTTCTTCCCACATCTGCAATCAGAGAGCAAATGCAATCAAGGAGCTACAAACATTCTGCATCACTATACAACATGTCCAATTTCCATTCTCGATTCTAATCTTTTAGTCTGTGCTATAGTGCTGCAACTAAGTTATTTTCATTATCAAATCATCTGCTGACTGTCTCAATTATTTAACTGGTAGGTCTATAAAATAGTAGGCAACTGAGATACATGTTCTGGTTTCCCACAGCCCATGGTGACATTTGAAATTTTGTCCAACCAATTTCATCATTATTAAAAAAAAAAGAAGAAGAAAAGAAAAGCAGCAAACATTCAGAAATACGTGGGTATAACGAGGAAATGTTTGACATCTTACTTGATAAATGACAAATTAAGAACGAAATGTCATAATTAGTTCATTAATCTTCTGTTGCTCATCTAATCAATGATCCTGCTAGTTGTTACAGTATACTGTTTTTGGTGTTGTATTAAAAAAAAACAACCATTTTCAACAAATAGGAAATGGTGCAGTGCGTGTGTCAATGAGCATTTATCAAAACTACAATGTTGGGCTGCCAAAATGTGGCTTTTAATTAAATACCCACTATTGTTTTCCCAGATCTTTCAGTAGCCATCTGTCCACCAAAGGTAATAATTTATGCAGAGTAGTGCCTCATTTTCCTTTGTGAATTGCACAGCATACTTGAACTGCAAGTCAAGTAGTGTTAGTATTCATAGTTACCATTTTGAGTATTTAGTTTAGGGTATGCGTTTTACTTCAAATTTACCACTTTTCTAATGAGAACACATTACAGAGTACATTACACAAAATCTGCTTAGACTCTGGATGTAGTATGTGCATGGACACTACAGCTTTAGTCTGACACACAGTATGCCTGAAGTAAAAGTTATATAACTAAGGAAGCGACTACAAGGGACCTACAAGTTAAAACTTTATAATCACATTAGGAGTCTGACTACACAAACAAATGTAGCTCTGTCTTGATTATTAGAGGACAGGAACCTCAATCTGCTTGAGAAACAGATTCCATAGAAGACTTGGATACTTCTCTGAAGTAGAGCAGACGTCTTTACTGCTCCTCTTGTCTGTTCTATGATTTTTCACATCTTCTACATTTTCAAGTCTTTGAACAAATTCTACAACTATTAAAATGCCTCCAAGAGGGAAAAGAGCTAATAAATCAGAAGCGAATGAGGATGTTGAAGCAGAAGAGGATTATATTTCAGCGGCACAAGTAACAGAGAGGTTAAGTCAGCAGAAGCAGATGCAGATGTACACCGCACTGTTGAGCCAACAACAAGACAACTTCAAAGGTTTTGTGCAACTACTTATGGAGACAAATAACAAGAGACTTGACGACATGACCAGAGAAATACAGGAGATAAAAACGAGTTTGCAGTTTACCCAGCGAGATGTGGATGTGATTAAAGCAGCCATGGGTGAACAGAAAATACAAACCAAGGAAACAAAGGATGATGTCTACAAAA